TTCGTTCTCACTGCCACCATCTACAGAATATTTTATGGCTACAGCTCTCAACCATCCTCTCTTGTAATCCTCTTCGCTTCGTTCTCACCGCCACTATCTATAGAATATTTTCCTGCCACAGCTATCAACACTATTCTCTTGTAATCCTTTTCACTTCGTTCTCACCGCCACCATCTACAGAATATTCTCCTGCCACAGCTATTAATGATACTCTCTTGTAATCCTCTTCGCTTCATTCTCACCGCCAATATCTACCCAATATTTTCCTGCCACAGCTATCAATACTACTCTCTTGTAATCCTTTTCGCTTCATTCTCACTATCACCATCGACCCAATATTTTCTGCCACAACTATCAACCATCCTCTCTTGTAATCCTTTTCGCTTCGTTCTCACCGCCACCATCTACAGAATATTTTACGGCTACAGCTCCCAACCATCCTCTCTTGTAATCCTCTTCGCTTCGTTCTCACAGCCACCATCGACCCAATATTTGTCCCGCCTCCCCTGCCCTCCTCCCTACACATTTCCTAATTTTTTTTCCTTTCAAGCCATGTGGTGGAGAGCCAGGAGTGAAAACGAGGACCCCCTCCTCATTTCTAAAACAGATTTATTGTTTGGCTCAGTCACCCGATGATCCCGGATTCAGCGGGAGGGACCACCAAATTTTAAAAACACAGTTAATTAAAAAACAAAAAACAGAGCAGCGCACCAGCTACGGGAAGCTGCTTTCTTCATGGAAGATAAAAAAAAAAAAACGGAGCCGTCCGTCAGGTTGTTCTCATCGAGAACGGAAAGTCCAGGGAGGCTGACACGGACCAGAAGGCTGTTTTTTTGGGGGGGTGGGGGCAATGTTCGCCCCAAAAGAGGACATTTTGTGGGGGGCGGGGGTATACAAAGCCAACCTCCTCTATTTAAGCAGCAGGGTTTTAAAGTCATCGGAGATTGCCAACGGAGTCACGGGGGAACGGAGGAACCTCTTGTCTTTGGTGTAGGATCCCGGAGAGATCGTCTTCGGCTAAAATCCGGAAGAGACTCAAATCTGGATTTTTTCTTGTCGGGGTGGGGGAAGCCAGCTTGGTGGGAGGTGGAAGTCGCGGGGTGGGCTGGGGTGGGGTGTCTCCATCCAGTCCCAGAGGCCGACAAAAAAAGAAAAAGAAAAAGCGCACAGCTTTGACATCCGGTGGGAACGAGACACAACGCCTGGAGGGAAAGATCGGAGAAAGAGGGATTGTTAAAGAGAGCACAGGGCAACGCGATTTCCGGATGCAGAAATTTGACCGGGGCTGAGATCAGGAGAAGGGGAGACATAACAGTCATCAAAAGACCTCTTCTAATTTTGGGGGAGAGCCCAAACTTGGGGTTCCCAAAGATAACACAAAGACGATTCAGCCGTTACTGTCCCGGGTCACTTTTTCCCACGGGGGATTGAAGCGATCCATAACCTTCTCGGGTGCGAGGTTTGCACTCCGCGCTCCAATATTTTGCAACGAAGAGCGAATTTCAGGTCCAACCCAGCCTGCATTTCATTCCTGCCTTCCCCATTTAGGATCCACCCCCCCAATATTAATTCTACCCCCCCAATATTAATTCCCTCCCCTTTGTGTGTGTCGGGGGTCATGTTTACACATTTGTTGCCTCCCTCCGTTAACAGATTGTATGTCCAGATAATTTTCTCGCAAAAGAGGCCTGTTTTGGCACACTTTTCTTAGCCAACACTTTTTTGGGTGGGGGCCGGGGAGGCAGACAGAACCCCCACTTCCAGGGCAGTATACGTGCAACTAGTCCTCGACTTACAACACTTCACTTAGTGACTGTTCCAACTTACAACGGTGCTGAAAAAAGTAACTTAGGAACATTTTTCACAGTTAAACCGTCGCACCTGTATGCTCAGGGATTCAAAATTCAGACACTCAGCAACTGATTCATATTTATGACGGTTGCAGTGTCCTCTGTGTGCGTGTGTATGTGTGTGTGTGTGAAGTTTTGGTGTGTTTCTCGTTTAACAACTGCCGTGATTTTCACTTAACGAATGCGGCGAGAAAGAGGTCATGAAATGGAGCATCGCTCCCTCAACGAACGCCTCACTTAGCGATGGAAATGTTGGGCAGGATGGCGGTCGTAAGTCCAGGACTGCCCGTATCAAGATAACAGATAATCAGAGTTGGAAGGGACCTTGTAGGTCATCTAGTCCAACCCTCCCTCCCTCCCCGCCCAAGCGGGAGACCCTACACCATTTCGTATCAGCAAACACGAAGCAGGTTGGGGTATTCTGGAGATTTTGTTCTCTTTAGCGCTCAATTGCGGTCATAAGTCCGGGACAGCTTGTGTACAACCCACCCACCAATCTATTTTCTCCACCCCTGGGCTTGCAAAAAGCAAAGTTGCAGGGCCAAATCCGGCCAAGAAATAAATATTTGTCCAGCAATAATAATAATAATAATAATAATAATAATAATAATAATAATAATAATAATAATGTGTTCAACTAGTGATTTGTGATACGAAACCCAGCATTAGTTATCTCGTCTGCTGTGCACACTGTTGTTTTTTGTAAATAACAATAACAATAATCAAAAATAATAATAAAAATATGAATTTACGTTTGCATTTAAAATAAAAACCCAGGCGAGACGAAAGAAGGCCGGCGGGCAAGGGAGGCCAATGCATTTTCTTCGCGTTCTTCATATGTATAGAATATTTTCGCCCCGATTCGCCCGGCTATCGTTCTCAAAAGGCCGCCAGTCTCTTCTCTGTTTCCCGCCTCGCCCCCCCCTCGCTGCCTTTCGTTATTGACTTCTGACATTTTCATGGCTCCCTGATTTGATTTCGACAGATTATCCAATTTGTTTTTGTAATTTTCTGCTTTCTTCTTTGCCACTTGGCTGGGCCCTTCGTTTTTTAAAGCGAGCCTTTTTGGGTCCGAGTTCCAAAAGGTTAAGAGGAAACCCAGCCAGCCCAGCGTACGTTACAGGAAAGTGTTTGCTTAGCGGCCACGGGTTCAGCGATGGTGCCAGGTTACGACGGGGCTGAAACGGCCAATCAGGAGATCGTCATCAGGGTTGGGAGGGACCTTGGAGGTCTTCTAGTCTAACCCCCCGCCCTTCTCTAGCAGGACACTTTATAACATTTCAGACAAATGGTTGTCCAGGCTCTTCTTAAAACCTCCAGGGATGGAGAAGGGAGGGAGGTAGGAAGAGAGGGAGGGAGGGAGGGAGGGAGGGAAGAATCTAGGAAGGAAGGAAGGAAGGAAGGAAGGAAGGAAGGAAGGAAGGAAGG